CACTAATATTATCCAAAATACTAATGTGCTTAGGATTTTATTTGCATTAGCTCTAGTCCTCTCAATAGCCATATAAGGTAGGCATGATAATTTGATTATTTCCACATGACAGATTCAGCAGAATGCAGCACAAAGCACCTCAGGAGCTGGCTGAAGTTCCCACAACTGGGAAGGAGCAGAGGTAGGAGTGGAGCCCAGCTCTGTTCTACATCCAAGCCACTGACTTCTACAAACCATATGGTAACTGCAGGGCACCGGGAGACTCAAGTGAAATTTGGGGTGACCATAGAGAATCCTCACACAGTAGCCAGCTGTCCTGGCAGAAAACTGCAGCCCCCGCTTAGCTGAAAGGGGATCTCCACCACGGATGGCAGAGGGGGACTCCAGAATTCGGTTACTGGCTTCTTCTGCCCAAACTCTTTTATTAGGGGCTGGGGGGAGAGTAGCACGAGCACTGAGGAAGGAAACCTTCAGGACTAGAGGCTTAACGGGGACAGAAAGAAAACAGGACAGGGTCGTTTTCTAAACCAAAGGTATTCTAAGCCACACTCTGCCCTCAAGAGCTACAGAAGAAATTCTGTGCCATTCTTAAATTCTTCCACCACCTCAGTAACTATTTGCCAACAAGCCCTGTATCTGCTAGAATGTATTACACAAGGAAGGATTTCTGGGCAAAATGAACCAGTCATCTCTGTAAATTGGAATTGCTCTTTACAAAACCTTTTCCTGGATGAGGAAAGTAATGTGCCCAGCCAGCTCTTAGGGCCTTCACTAAATTAAGGCCACCCAAAGGAAGAAATACCGACTTTCAACAGGGGAAGACAAGGGAGGAGTTTTCAAACTTATCTCCCTCGGTATTACAGTCTTGCTAGCTCAAGGGACCATCAAGAAAGGGTACGTATTTGGCAGGTGAGGGGCAACTGAGGTCTAGAAAGGGTATGAGCGAAAGCTACACACTTGAATCTTAACCTTAAGTTCCTTTTCAGAAAGAGCGTGTCTGTGTGTGGTTCCGGAGCCAACCCTAGGTCACAGTATCAAGAATAGGGCCCTGGATGCAGCACCAGTTCACGGTTTGATGACGATTTTCCTCCTCCGCACTAGCTGTTTCTGGCATGGAACCCACACCTGTGCCCTTGTCTCTGGAGCTTGCCCAGAAAAAATAAATAATTCAAGCTAGCCTTTAGCACTGCCAACCTTAACTGCATGCCTATTGTTCTTGAGACAAGATTTCATACTGGCTTTGATGGAGCATTTAAAAAGGACATAAAATTAAACTACTTGATCCGGTATATTATTTCAAGAGCAGCCAAGTCATTCCACACATGGGAGTCTACCTATGCACTTAAAAACTTGGTTTCTCCTTGGGAGAGAATAAAATAGGAACTTAAAAGTACTGACTCCTGAATGCGCCCAATACCCTGCTTCTTTGTTCCAGATGCACTCAGTTTATGATCATTTATTCTGGAAACACACGTCCGAATCTTCCAAGCAGCACTCGGTGCTGCAGTAGCCTTTGGCCTAAATATCTGTGAGCGTGGGGGTGTGCGGTGCAGCGGACCTACAGGCCTGCCAGCCAGTGGGCTCATCGGTTTCATGGCCAGGTTCTCTACAGTGCTTTTCAGTACATGAAGCACCCACCAATTGGGGTCAGAGGACAGTACAGCTCAGTAGAAAGAGCATGGGTTTTGGAGCATGTGACCTTAGGCAAATCACAGCCTGAATTATAAGAAAATTCTATCAACCTGGCTGGGTTATTGGAAGACTTATATATTGGGCTCCCATAAACAAACCACAGATTCAGTAGCTTAAAGAAATCTATTTCCCAGTTCTGGGGGCTAGAAGCCCAAGAGAAACATGTCAGCAGGCCAAGTTTCCTGTGAGGCCTCTCTGGTAGGCCCACAGGTGGCTGCTTTCTCAGTGTGTCCTCGCACGGTCCTCCCTCTGGGTCATACTTGTCGGTATCCAAACTTGCCCTTCTTATAAAGACACCAGTCATATTTTATTAGGGCCTACCCTAGAGACCTCATTTTAACTTAATTACCTCCTTAAAGACCTTATCCAGTCACATTCTGACATGCTGGAGATTAAGGCTTCAACCTACAAATTTGGGGACACACAGGTCAGCCCGTAAGATTAAATGACAAAGTAGGGGCATTAAAAGCTCATATTTTTCCATTCTTAGGCATAGAGAAAAAACTTGTGTTTTGGAATCATAAAGTGTAATTTCAACTCCTGGTCCAATTGCTTGGGTGAATTTGGGCAAGTTGCTTAACCTGTTTCATGATCTGTAACATGGGAATAAGAATATCGCCCTCAAAGGGATCACTCTGAAGATAAAGTGTTAAGTATGTGAAGTGCTTAACAGCATGTGGAAGAGGCAGGCAGAATGTACTTGCTATTATTGCATTATTTCTTCCTGGCAATAATTTTTAATAATGCATCCAGTTTGCTTCTTCTTGTCAAAATGCTTTGGTGACTAGCCTTGGTAATGGCCTGTGAACTAAATAAAGTGACAAATCTTTGTCCTAGAGATTTCAGAAGGATTTCTTGATTGGCTGAACAAAGATACCAGCAAAAGTGGAGAATGGAACATGCTCAACAGAGCCTCACTGATTATACAGACAAGTCCCCACAACATGAGACCATCTCCCTCCCAGGTTGATGACCACGCGCTTCCTCTTCTCTTACCCATCTCATGACAGAATTTCCCTTACAAGAAGAAATGCAGATGGCCAACAGGCACATGTAAAGATGCTGAACATCGCTAATTATCAGGGAAATGCAAATTAAAAAAACAGTAAGATACCATCTCACACTAGTTAGAATGACCACCATCCAAAAGACAAGAAACAGCAAGTACTGGAGAGGATGCAAAGAAAAGGGAACCCTCCTACACTGTAGGTGGGAATGTAAATTAGTGCAGCCACTGTGGAAAGCAGTACGGAGGTTCCTCAAAAAACTAAATCTAGAAATACCATATGACCCAGCATTTCCACTTCTAGGCATTTACCCTAAGAAAACAAAATCCCTGATTTGAAAAGATACATGCACCCCTATGTTTATCACATTATTTACAATAGCTAAAATATGGAAGCAACATGTGCCCATCAATAGATGAATGGATAAAGATCTGGTATATATACACAATGGAATATTACTCAGCCATAAAAAAGAAAAGAAATCCTGCCATTTGCAACACCATGGATGGATCTAGAGGGTATTATGCTCAGTGAAGTAAGCCAGGCAGAGAAAGACAAGTACAATATGACTTCACTTATTAGTGGAATATAAAAACAAAGCAAAACAGAATGAACAAAATAGCAGTAGACTTATGGACACTGAGAACTGACTAGTGGTTACAATGGGGGAGGGTTTGGGGTGGGTGGGTGGGGAGGGTGAGGGGGATAAAGGGGCACAAAATGTCTCAATTGTAATATAAATTGGTCATGGGGACAGTAGTACAGTACAGAGAATACAGCCAATGATTCTGTAACAGTTTCCTATGTTGACAAATAGTAACTGCACTAGTGGGGGTGAGAATTTAATAATACGGGTAACTGTTGTACCACTGTGTTGCATATTTGAAACATATATAAGATTGTATATAAACAGTGCATCCCAAGCACTGGCCAATAAAACAGCAGGACTAGAAACAAGCAGAGCTACAAAAGACTCCACCACACAAGTGAGGGGCTTTAGTGAGGGGGTGGTGACTGAGCTAAAGTGTTTTAATTGTTCCTTTTCAAGTCAGGGAGGCCTTGAGACAGAAGCCCCATTCTCAGGTTCAACTATTTCAAACCAGCAAGTTCAAAGGAACCTCCAGAAATGAGTAAAATCAATCCCCATCATGACACAACTGTCATTACATGGTTATAGCAGTCCTACTCCAAGTGGTCTACAGATCTGTGCCTACCCATAAACTATTCGCTAGTGGTCCAAGACAAAGCACAGAAATCAAGAGTAAGCATTTAGAAACTTTAAACTATTTTAAAAAGCAGGAGTAATTTTGTTAAGTGTATAATAAAATCTACATTTTTCTTTTAACTTCATTTTCCTAGAAACTCATTTTTACTGTATTCTGTAGAAGTACTGATCCATGGCTTAGTCCTGTGGCACAGATAGCTTAAGCAATAGGTTACAAGCTCCTAACTCAGCAGGACACTAGTATATCCCACTCAAAACAAAAAATACAGTAAAACCAAGCCATTTTTCTTCATTCCACATTCCACCTTCTAAGACAAGAAAGTAGGTCTGTTTTCCTCTCAGGAATATAGTAAAAGTCAGCTTCTAGGATACATTCCAGTCTGAACTTTCATCATATTAGAAGTGATCAATGCCCAGAGGCTTTATAGTCAAAGGTTTATGAAGACTACAAACACAATACTCTGTTCAGAACTAGAAGGTATCATAGTGGGGAAAATCCTGAATATGAGTCAGAAAATCTGGATCCAAATCCCAGTTTATTGCCTAGAAGCTTTTTGACAGTTCATAAGTAATAATCTCACTGAGCCAATTTCCTCAATTACAGAGTGGAGATTAGTATTATCCACCCAATCTACAGTTTGAGAGTATTATTTGTTGACAGTCTCAAAGGAAATAGCCCCTAACCTGGTGCAGTATGGAGACCAGAATACTTACAGCCTTGAAGTATTTTGCCAAATTAGAAAATGCTGCCTTCAAATTTTTTCCTATGCAGAAAGTACTCTTATTTTCTAAGGAACTATTATTAAGGGTGCTTGGTTCCATCCTGCCAGGTATCTGGCACCACGGTGGACACCATGAGGAAGAGGAGAGCAGAGCCCTTGAGCAGTTCACGGCTACTGGGTGCGCCAACGGCTAGTGCTCAACGCTCCGTGTGATTCAAACACGGCAGGAACTGGAGCAGGGCAACTCTCCCCCATTTTAACTTGTACAGCTATTTGGAGACCCTCTCAAAAAGATTACAAGCTTAAAAATGTTTCATTTCACTCTGTTGCTTTAGGCAAGAGAAGACCAGAAAATCATAATGTATTTTAGCTTTATTGGAGACATATTACTGTAGACAAAACAAGTAGACACATGCTTTATAAAATATACATTCTCATGTGTGAGAAAATATAAATAGATACTAGGAAAGGGCCACACTGAACAACTTGACTTAGAACTCTTTAGGTACTGCTCAGACTGACATTCTCTGATGGGGAAAATGGGAGAACAGGGGGAAAACAGAGGGTCAAAATAGTTTCTTTATGGAATAAGAGGCCACTTTAAGCAGCCAAGAGTTAATCTAAGGGCACTTGACCACCTGATAATCGATTTCTCTTTCAAGACAGTTCCAGTTGATGAAATTCATTTTACTTCTCACATCTGAAAACAGGCTCCAACCAAGTTGTCTTTTCACCTTCACCCCGCCCACTGGGACTGCTAAGAAACACTCAACACACAGCCTCGAGGGAGCAAGTCCATGTTACTCGTAGAACCCACACACATACATTCACACTCACTCACACAAACACGTCCCTGCCACCCACAAAACCTTCCGCTGGTGTGTGGGCTTTCAGGTATGTTGTTAAGAGCAGCTTGTAATACATCTCTTAATTCAGAACTTGTTATTTTTGTCGACAAAAGCAGGCAGTTTTCCAGAAAGAAAGAAAATTAAGGCTAACTGATGTTGGTTTAGATTGTTGTACTTCAAACAAAAAAGCTGTAAGCTGGAGGAAGCAGGAGGAAAAACACCTGCCAAACTGACCTGGGAAAGAGACCACGTCATCACAAAAGGAAACCTTAATTGCAGGTTGCCAAAAAAAATCTTAGTTCAACCTTCTAAGGTCCAGCTGGTTCACAATTACCTCTGCACTCTGCATCAAGAAGCAAAATAAGAAATGGAGAATGTAGCACAAAATTACAGCAAATTTGCCCCTGTTGCTCCATTACCCTTTTGGCATTTATGGGGATATTAAAATGATTAGAAAAGGCCATAATACACTTGGGTAAAATATTGGGTATAAAACTGAACCCCACAATTCTAATCCCATTCCAAATACAGTCACACTGGTAAGAAGAATCAGGAATAAAAATTACAGAGTAAATGGGGTGTTCTATTACATGCTTAAAAAATTTTGTATTATGGTAATGCCATTTGCATTAGGAACTAGTTACAGATTTTCTCAGAATAGCCCAGAGTTCGTGTTTTCAGCTATTAACACAGACATGCTCCCTTTATCAACCAAAACCCTAAATTCTTTAGCTTAAAAAAATTTCTTAAGTGCTCTAAACTTACTGAAGGACAAAGTTTTCAGACTATCACTGCTTCTGGAGATCCCCAATGACAAAACTGAAAGAACGCTAACTCATCTTGCCCATATTCCATGTCAGCACAGGTATTCCTTCAATGCTGTTAACATGGTTACTTAGCTTCCATGTATGCTTTTCCCATGAATGGCTAATTATTCCAATTACCAGACAAATCGAATCGTTAAGAATTAGCTTACATAGATTATTGGCAATTCTGCCCCATTGATAGGACCCTTTTTCTTTAGAATAAAGACAGTGAATTTAATCCTTTTTCAGATGACAATCCTTTAAGTAATTAATCTTATCTTCCTTTTCTTAGGAAAATAGTAAGAGTCTAAATTGCTTGATATCTTGATGTTCCTTTTACAGCCTCTCAATGGCTAATATGAAGGCAACTGTTCTGAAACATGAAAGTCACCTTACAGAAAAATACTCCTTTCGAGCATTCTGAGATGGCACACTAAAGGCAATGGCACAGTAGACTGGGTTTCTGAGATTTCCAATTGTATGGAATAACCTGCATGGTAGGGAAAGCACTTTAGAAGCTGATGAGTGACAGAAAGCCAATGGCTTAGGTGTAGATCTGTCAGTAAGACTTGGAGTTCAAGGAAAATGCTATTTCTTTTTCCAGGTAGACTTAAAGAATCACTTTAAAAGGGGCACAAATGAATTAAGATAATTTATGTATCCCTCCTAATATGAAGTGGTAACTGGGTGGGAACAGAGAGAATTTTTAGTTTGCATTGCTTTGTAACATCCTGATTAAATTGGCATTGGGCAGGCGTTACACCACTGGGAAGAAACACTGATGAGTCACTAGTCCTGTTCATAGCAGAGGATTAAATCACTGCTCAGTAAAACAAAATGCAATTATGAAAAATTTCAGGAATTTCTTTTCCTAAAGTTAAGAATTTATTATTTTTTTAAGACTAGAAGTAGACTATTCACATTTAAACAAATTCCTGACTGGTATTTAGGCCAGTTTTTTTTAGTTATTCAGGCAAGCTAGGAGTATCTGGGAGGCCACCTCAGCCATCTGAGTTGACATAATGCAGAATGTGGCCATTCATATCAGACTCTGACACTCCAGGCAGTAAAGGGACCACTGCTAAATAAAGAGGCGGCACTCATGCATGTTAAGTTTTCTAGAGCACTGGTTTGCAGCCTGTGTTTTGTCCTCTCACATGTAACAGCTGATGCTCACTTGCAGCCCAACTCCAACTCCACCTTTCTCACTCAAGAAAGTCTACGAGAATTTGAGGGAGAAAGTACTATTATTTTAGGGGTAACCTTGAATACACCAGAAAGGTAAATGAGCTACAAACGAGTTGCAGATTAGCTGTGGCAGGCCTCTCAACCGATTCTGTAACATTAGCATTCAGTCCTGCTATTCTAGAGAGCAATGGGTAGTTCCCAGTACATCAAGATTCTTTATGTTTACTGACTCGGTTTAGAAGTAGAATATTTCTTCTCCTCCTGAGTATTTCTTATGCCATTACTCCTACTTAGAGAAAATAAATCTGGCTTGAGTCAGAGCAAGCAGCATCACTCCTGTTCTACTCTAACAAACATTTCATGAAAGCAGCTTTTTATTAGACTAGCATAATCCTCCTTGGTTCCTGGAGGGATCACAGATTCACAGAATGTTACAGCTGGAAAGGGCTTTAGAGCATCTAGTAAAATGCCCTCATTCCATAAGTGAGAAAAGCAGGCTGAGAAGTAAAGGACACCAGTCAGTAGCAGAACTAGGAATTAAATCAGGTCGCTTGATTCATAGTCAGTCCAATATAAATTATACTACAATCTACTAAGAAGAGGAATAACAAATTAAAGGGACAGGAAAACAGTGATAGTTCAGAAGTTCAAAGTGAAAATGACCAGAGGCTGACAGGTTAAAAAGGAAAAAGAGAAAGGCATGGTGGTACTACACAGCTAAAGAAGTGCCACTGCCTATGGAGGAAAATCTAGGATTGAAAACTCATATGAAATTAAGGTCACTTTTCCAGGAAAAAGCTGAGAAATTATGTGAGTTTAGAACCCTTGAAATGCACAATGACTGAGAAACAATATTTTTGTTTAAGTGATGCAAGTTATCCAGTATAGACTAGTCCTCAGTGGATTCAGGGGACAGAATCTGACAGCCTATGTGAGGAAATCTAAAGCACAAGAAAGGAGAACACTAGTCCACTATATTCTACTGGAGTGTAAGTCCTTTGTTTACATAAAGCTTTCTGCTATCAGAAATTCAAGGAAACTTTCTGGATTAAATAATCACTTGTACTAAAACAAGGACCCACTCTATAGGAATACAGACAATTCTGCACATTCTTCTAACCCCAAAGCACTCTTCCCTTAAGCTATAGTGTGCATTGGTAGAAGAGGGATTATTAAAAAAAACAGGGAAAAGAAGCAAACCTTGGTTTCTTTGTCAACTAAGTACTTTGCTGAAAGATCCTCCCCAAGTAAGTTTTCCTTTTTCTATGTGCACATGGCTGTGACAAGACTACTAGTGTTTGAAAGAGCCTTTTTATGCTAAGAAGGTACCATCACCCAGCAGTTGTACACAGATGGCAAATGACTAGATGTACAAACCTTTAGGTATGAAGAAAATGGTTACACCAAGATTGTGTTTGTGTGTATGCAATCATAGATACCCTGCCTCTACACATATAATTCTTAACAAACATGTTTTTAAAACATTAAACAAAGTCTTTAGATTCACTACATCAAGTTATACAAAATCTGTCTGTAGTCTGAGAAGCTGCTGTTAATATAACTGGATTTTATATATAATTTTGGCATATCAAAAATATTTACATTGCGGCCAACACATGGTCAATGAATACAAAAATTATTTATGAATGCACATATATTTACAATGAGATCCCTGGGCGACAGGGAACCACCCAAAAAAAAGATTCACAAGAATATAAAACCCCTTGACCGGTAACAGCGGGTCAAGCCTGGATTCTTGTTGAAGACCTTGAATATCAAAGCCCCAGTCTCAACTCTGAGCTGAAAGCCACTGAAGAAGCTCAGGAACACTTCTCAGAGGGCTCCAAAGTTATTTTTGTTCCTTGGAGGGCAAAACAAAGGAGTGATGTTTTCTCAGGATCTTTCTGTGGGCTGAGACAATCCAGCATGTTAAGCAGCAATGAGCCTCTTCCTAATAGGGAATGCTCGTTGGGCACATCCCCAGGGAACCATCAGGAAGCACATTTGTCCAGTATCCTCTGCCTGTGCCACACATATTTACTTAGATGAACCCATTTTCATCAGCCGTTAGCCTCCCTTCATCAAGTACAAGCCCAAGTGAATGCCAGGACCACCTGGTGTGCTTGAAGTAATTGTAGACCACGAGTAAAGCAAATGCTGACTTTGGAGGTTTCTTCTGAACTCTGAGGTAGTAAATACAAAATTAATTAATTTGAGTCTTTGCCCAGATTTCATCCTGGAGTGAGTTTCATGTGCCCTCGCTACCACCTTGAATGTTACGAGTCCTACTAAAATCAAAAGCGCGGTCATGTAGCCTGTGACAGGACACAGGGGAGGTGGAACAGTCTGGATCACCATTTGCCAGGGCCTCATTTTGATGGAGTTGTGGGGACTCAACGACTGGCTGCTGGGAAAAGGGAGGATGAGGCAGTTCTTTGCTTATGCTCCACAGAGGCCGCTGTAACATTTCTGAGAGTGAAAGACAGTAATTATCAGCAGTGAATCAAATTTTAAAATTAATTTTCTAAAATTTAATTTTCTTTTACCCAAATCCTCAGAGAAATAAAGATACCCAAAATTACTGAATAAGAAAACTGAGATCAAATGTATACTTGCCATCTTCTCAGTAACAACTAAAAAAAGAGGGCAAAATAAAAGCTTGGAACCATGGTCTTTTAAACCTTCCTACTCAAAAAACAGCCAACTATTTACTGAGACCATGCTATATCACCTACTTCCACCTATTAGTGGTTCTGCTGCTACAAAATTTAAATATAAAACCCTTTAGACACATGGAAAAAGGCTAAAGCAGATTTAACAGTATCCATACTGCAATGAAAGTTGTATTATACATAAAAAATCATTGACTGAGGGCAGCAATTCCATCTTTAAATAACAATCAAATGCCTATATTGAAAAAATTGTTTTAAAAATAAACCATCATTTCACCCAGCTTCTAACATACCAATAATTATAACAACAAAATAATAACCAACAGCAGTGATTTTAAATTAGATTATCTGTAATATGGTTTCAAAAATATACATTACACTTTCTCCCTACTTAATGCAGTGGTAAGTTCATTCCCCAAAGATCATTTACTGGAAGTCGTATTAGCTTCAGAGGTACGCATTTTGGAAAAAGCTAGCCAAACATTCTGGAACCAAACACTCAGAAATAAGATCTGCATTGCTAACAAGCTCTGAGGTAATGCTGATGCTGACAGACCACACCCTGCATAGCAAGGAGCGCCCTAGGCAAGGAAGGGAGCAAGGCCTCAAAGCACTCTCATTTGCCGATTTACTCACTTAGAGACCAGGTTAACAATTAAGATAGTCCCAAAGTTAGGAAAAAGATGCAGTACACTTTTGGTTTTACTTAAGAAGGCGGGTGTGTGTGTGTGTGTGTGTGTGTGTGTGTTATTCTTTTCGGACATGGGAGATGGATTTAGTGTTGCATTTCTTTCATGGACACTGATTTTAAAGACAAGAGACCAACTTCAATAAAGATATAGCTTTTTCTGAGCTATACCCTCTTTAGAAATCTTTAGAGTTGGTCTCTGAATTAAGAGCAACAGAGCTCACGTTCAAGGTGCTACTTCAGATCATTTGCTCCTTCCAGAACCATCCCTGGAAGCACGACTACACACTGCCTTTCTGCCCCCACCCCGTTCCCAATGCTCTTCCATTGCAGGCTGACAGGGGAGTGACAGCTAATGAAAAGCCTGGGTGGACAGGACGACATGCTCAGTGTGCATTTCATGGTCTAGAAAGAGTTTTGCTTTACAGACTAAGTTGTCATCAAATGGTCAACTGCACAATAGAACATGTGTTTCTCTTCCTGGGCCCTGTGAGGCCAAGGACACTTTCCCCAAACTGTTCTCCCACTTATGGCTCTGAACATAACATATCACAGATGACAGCAAGCACCTGCCAAGTGAGACTGACATTCAATATTTACCTGATGGAACAACAACCAAGTAACACATGTTTTAAGTCAACTCAGTAAAACCTTCACTAAATTACACCCAAATTATATCCTTAGCATTTCAAGTCTCCATTATTTAAAAAGAGAAAAAGCTTTATAAAGCTTTGTCTACTTGGCTTCTGAATTTTTAGAAGTGTGATCTTGTTTTCATCCTACAAATGCAGACTTCTTTCTAACCCTAACCTCTAAAGATCTCTGGCTCCAGTTTATGCCAGTTACCAATAGCTAATTACTCCACTACACTCACTTGTTTGCCTCCCAGCAATTGAAGAGTGCCACCTATAATGACTGAAGGAAAAATCAGGTAGGTGAAAGTGAAAGCAAAGCAGAACAAAACAAACAAAAAACACTGTGCCCTTTACCACTGCTCATCTGTGTGAAGGAATGTTTCTTCTCCTTTATCCTCTCGTGGCTGGTGGGAAAGGCAGACATCTCTCGATCTGCTGACGATACCAGGCTCTCCAGGTTAGCAGCATCTTGGGGAGGATGTACCAGGTATGTCTCTTTGGGCATCTGGACCATGAGGCTGGACAGTGTCTGATCCAATACATCCTCCTCAGCAATGTAGGTGTATGGACAGTATTCTCGGGTCCTGGAGTAGATGTTGGCATTGTCGTAACAATCTGAGCAGATCACCCGGGCACCAGGGCCACCTAATGACAACGTGGGAAAGAACCCAGACATTCTCCAGTTGAGAAATCAGCTCTACCAATGATCAGTTTTCTTCAATGGCTGTCATCATTATCATCACAGCTGGCATCCATTCAGCAGTTACTTTACAAGCCAAGTGCAGTTTTAAACTCTTTCTGTGAATTAAGTAACTCAATCCTCACAACGTCCCTATGAGGTAGGTACTATTATCACCCCCATTTCACAGATGGGGTAACTACCACACAGAGAAGTTCAATTTCAGTACCTCTCCAAAAGACATACTGCCAGAGTGGGGGGCTACAATGTGAACTCAGCACTCCAGCTCTGGAGCCCATGCTCTTGAAGGCTACATTAAATCATCTTTGTCCAGCCTGGGTAAAATCATGCCCAAATCACAGGAGCCAAGATAAAGCTGACACTGTGCTACAGGACACATGTTTGGCTTAAGCAAACTAAAGCAGAGAACAAGGAGTTATGATGATTTCATAAAAGTCCTTGTTACTTTGGTGAGTCAAGAGGTTAAGCAACACTAATTGCTAAAAGTATCCCTAGAGAAAGCCTCTGATGGTCATGAGTCCTGCCTAACAGATGTGTGCTTGGTAGACATGAAAGTTTAATAATGAGCTCCCTGAACTGTTACATACTTTGAAAACTAAATAATGAAAGAAAGGAAAGACAGTGAGAAATAGAGAGTGAGTTATTTATGTATGATCAAGCAAAAGAACATTAGAACTGAAAGACGCCTACAAGTAATGTAGTTTAACCCAGAAAACAGTGTTATTTCTCACAAATCTCAGAATAGAGGCTTTTAGGTATTCTTTAAGAAGCTAGAAATACCCTTCTTTCTATGGAAAGCCAAAATGAAGTTCAATTTGTCAATTAGAGAAATTTCTGTTAACACCTAGCCTTAAAAAAATCTCTACAGAAATGGAACAGACCTTTCATCTGTACAGTACTTGAAATAACACAGATTTGTTGAAAGGATCTGTAAGAATCTTGAGAGAAGTGCTTTATAAAATACTGTTAATTTATTTTTAAAATGAGGACATAAAAGCTCAGATTTCAAGTAACTTGTTTATGGTCACAAAGCTGGAAAGAACTGGGAATCAAACCCAATTCTTCTACCCCTTAATTCACCTTCCTGAAATCTTCACTCCTTGTGGGAAGAAGGGTGGAGTGGGGAAGAGTAGTAGTGTTAGGAAATAAGATTTATTTAATTAGAGAACATTTTATACCTTGCTGATGTTCTCCAACTATGCTATGAATCATCATCACCTTATAAACTTCAGGGCATCTACTTTATGATATAAACTTTATGACTATCTACCTGACAGCAGGAGAAACAAACCTCTCCTGGATATGGTCTGAAGGATGCTCATGCCTGAAAAGGATAAAGGACACCTGAAAAAAGTTTCAGGAACATCTCCTTCCCCTAATAACAGCCTGTACTGTGTATCCCAAACCGTTGCTTAGGCTGTGTCTCTCTTTTCTGTCAGATGATTTTCTTCTGTTAAGACTTTAATCAATTTTCATCCTATTTTGCATGGGGCCAAATGTTTTCACTGAGTATCTTACAGGTTAATGGTGAAAACTATACACTGAAATTTAATTCAACAGACTATGCTGAAATTGTAGGGATATACAAGAACAGTCATTACCATCAGTGCCTCTGTGTAAATACCCACTGGCAGGAGGCATAAGCTGCTGATGACTGCCTGCCTCAGAGTTGCTGTAGCCTTCCTGTGGCTCAGACAGTGTTCCTTGAGAAGACAAGTAGCTGGGAATGTCTGCAGGTAGATTAAGCTCCTCTGTAAAAGAAACATCTGTTAACTCTCAAAGTTAGACAATTTAAGCCAACACTTAGTAGACTGTTTTACAAATGTGTTCCACTTTGATGCAACTAGCCAGGAAAATGCTATACAACAGAAACTCAGGAGCTCTTAGAATTTTCCCTTTAACTATTTCTCATAGAATTCTTCTCAAAGCTTCATTTAATAAGTACTACCAAAAGGAACAAAACCTAAAGTCTGAAATCTTATCCACAGGCACATTTTTCACAATCTATCCAGTTGAACCTCTTTTCTTGTGGATTTCAGGTGAGGCGTGCTGACCTTAGTCATATGGGCTCCACTCTGCCCCACAGGGAAATTATGATGGGAATGAACCTTAGGTACTAAGGAAATAAGATACATCTGTAATATGTTTGTAAGGGCAATGTTTTGGGGGAATGTCTACGACCTCTTAAAATCACTTATCACCATAGAGATTCTGTTTTATCAAGGAAGTAGGACATTTTAACAGGAAAAACTCTTCCTTCTACCACACATAAAATCAAGTATCAAAGCTCCTTAGTTTTTTGTATTTTACAATAAATCCTATATACTACATTTTTGACTCAAGTATAAGCCATGGGTGTCAACTAGATACCACTCACCTGTGTTGGTGATACTATAGTCTTCATTTTTCCTTCTCATGTGGTAAATAACAATGACCCAGATCAAAGAGGTGCCCACAACACAGCAAACCACAACAATGATGACAATGCCAACTGTGGTCCAGCCATCATCTTCATGCCCAATGCTACTCTGGGAAGAGTCACAATTGGAGGATGAAATGACATTTAGATAAATGTGACCACGTTCTGTCCCAAGGGTGTTAGACAAAATGCAGGTATATTTCCCAGCATCATCTAGCCCAGCATCTACAATGATGAGAAGCTGGTTGGCTGCAGCAAAGAAGTGCCGTTCTGTCACCAGCAGTGGCCCATCGTCTTTGGTCCAGTTGAGGCGAGGAGCAGGACTCCCTCCAGCTATGCACTGTAATACGGCAGTTTCACCTCGGGTTACTGTCTTGTCCTCCAGGGGTCTAATAAATGAGGGTGTCTCTAACATATAAACAAGAAAGTCACATTAAACGATTTTATCCTTAAATCTTACTGAATTTAACTATTGAGGCTATGATGAAATAAACACTTTCATATACTCATGGGAGGATTAGAAGTCAATGTTTTAGAAAAGCAAAAGCTTCAAAAAAACATAAATCTTATCTCAGTAATTCCACCTTTGACCAGCTATCCTAAGTAAGGAATTCAAACATTTACACACAAAGGTATTATGAAATTAGTTGTAGTTTTAGAAATAAAGGAAAAAATCTAACAGCAAAATGATTAAGTAATTCCCAACAGCCACATATTTTACAAAGACTTAATGGGGTAATCCTTGGGATACAACATTTAGTGCAAAAAGGTAGGTATACATAACTACATAAAAATGCATATTAAAAAAAGTCCAGAATATGCCATAATCTTTAATAGTTTTACTGAATTTCCCTCCTTTTTTCTAGTTTTCTGTGTATCTTGAATTTTTAAAACAGTAAGTTTTTCTGATTATACAAGTAAATAACAAACCAACAAACTTTTAAAAGCCCTAACATCTAAGGGAATATAAAATAGAATTTGCTTGAATTTGAATCCCATGAAGAAAAATACTCTCATAAGAAAAAAATAGGCTTGTCAGTGGAAATCTTCAGGGAAAAGACATTTTACCAGAGGATAGGATTAAGAGGAAGACACTGAAAGCAAAACAGGAAATCTAACAGTAAGATGGGTCACTTTTTTGTTTAAAAAAATTTTTTTTAATGAACTAGGGGGGTCAGTCACACTGTCTAGAGTTGTTCTCTGTGAAGCAGTATGTGAACAGTATAAAACAACTGCAAACTCAATACTGAGCAGTAGGAAAAACATACATCAAGTAGAAACCTTACAAAGGGAGACATAACATATAAAGAGATTTGAATTTTCAATTCACGTGATAAAGATCTCTCATTCCACCCTCAGCACTTCCCCAGACTTCAGTTATCTGATCCACTAATATCCTAAGCTGACAAAAACCTGAGTAAGTTGGCAAAAATAAGGTGACAAAGATATAAAGTTCACAACGAAGATCTCAAAATTAGACTTTCCTTAAGATCAAACACAATAATGCTTGTAAAGCACAGTGCCTAGCACATAGTAGCCACTCAGTATTAACTCTTACAATAATACCCCATGACTGGTATTACTCTGAAAACTATAAACATCTGAGAAAGCCAAGAATTCATCTGTTCACAGTAACTGCACTAGTTGGGGTGAGGATTTAATAATGTGTATAATGAACTACTGTGTTGTATAACATTGTATATCAACTATACGTCAAGAAAAAGAAGAACTCAAAAAAAAAAAATTAGACTTTCCTTGTCCTTAGTATCAAGAGTAGATCCCTAATAAAAAGCTCCTAACAAAAGCATGGGGCAGTAAACATACGTAACACTGTTAAGGAGGCATTTGCTGAGAGGCCGCCTGCTATATTTTGTGCCATACAGCTATAGATTCCCATGTCTTCTATTTTCACATTTGCAATGAAGAAGACATCATCCTCAGGCATGACATGCATGCGTCTTTCTCGAGCTGCAGGGAAGTCAGTACCACCATCTTTCTGCCAGGAAATCTGAGGTGCAGGGTGTCCCTCTGCAGCACATTCTAATCTGGCCATGGCACCAGTGCGGATAGTTAGATCCATTGGAGTTTTCAGAAAAGAGGGCATCTCTGTTCCAAAAAAGATTGAGAGAATGTGGGTAAGGGAGAAAAAAATATATACATATATATATATATATGTATATACATACACACATACATGAGAGAATCTGTTAGGCAAAATACCAACTGTTGTAATGTTCCATTCTTTGAGAAGGCATGCTCTCTGGATCAATAGTAAATACAACTTCAGAGGCCATCTTTTCTCCCAGAACCTCAGAATACTTGGGATACAGTGATGACTAATTAATTCTTCTACAGAATGCATGCATGACATACCTACCTCATCTCACTGATGCAGACAGAGAATGCAGAAGACCAACCTATCTGAACTCCCCATTTTATAACCTGATATTTACTATGCCTTCCTTACTTAAAAGACTAAACAGTTCTTTCCAAACTAATTTACAAAGCTGTCAAGGCAAATGCCATGATAAACAAAAAATCTATGCCTTCCAAAATCTCGTAAAACAACACAGAAGCAAGACAAGTACATCTTTTGGTCGCACAAAGCCAAAAATGTAGTTACTCAATCTGACAGGAAAGAGATAAATCAAGCTTTTTGGAGAAGCTTTTTTTAGCCACAGAGAAGAGCATTAATTTAAAAAGTGACTCTGTGTGACTACATTTACACAGAGATAATGATCACTGGACCCAGAAATGTCCTAAATACTCCCAGTTAGCAGAAGGCTGTGTGAACAATGTCAGGAATACATTTCATAGTTTTCAAACAGACTTATGGTTCTTGAAAGAAAATGGGAGAAATCCAAAAGAACTTTTTTTCAAAAGCATAAACAACAGTGAAAATAGTCTATCTCCTGGGGCTGTGGAATTCACCTTTACCCCTCAATTAAAGACAAATTAAAATTAGGGACAGTAAGTGGGCAAACCGGCAATCTAATCTATATACTATCATAACCATAAAGACAAAAACAGTTAAAATCCCCTCCCAAATGTCAGGTTTAGCCTAATTTTCTTGGTCAAGTGGTTCAAAAACTGAACTTGAAAAATTGTTCTAACCACAAAACTATCAGAGAGCATGATTCCTTACCATTCACAGTCAGTTTGGCTTTATGAGAATAATTAGAACCAAAGTGATTAGTAACAATGCACTGGTATTTCCCTTCATCTGTGAAATTCACATTGAAAAGATGTAAGACACTGGTATATTCCAGAGCTTCTCCAGCTTGCTGCTGATAGCGAACAAAATTCTCAATATCAGCATCATACAAGATTTCACTGTCTTTGCGCCACACAGTAGACATGGGTGAATCACTGCTGCTTGCTGCAGTACATGTCAGAGTTATGTTCATTCCTCTTAGAGCAACTGTGGTTTCAGGATGTGTTCTTATCTGTGGCTTGAGAAAGTCATCTAAGGAAAAAAAAAAAATGGGCAGGAGCCAAGTCAGTTATTTTTGTTTCTATAGACTCAATTTGAAAACAAATAATGTAAAATTGTGTGTTCTGTTTACAAAATGGTCTATTAAGATTAAAAGAGACTTTGGAGCTAGAATCCAATTTCCTTGTTTAAAGATGAGGAAAATGAGGCTCAGGAGGGTCACACTGACTTGCTCAAAGACTTGTAAGTCAGCAGCAGAGGCTGGACTGGATCCCATGTTTTCTGACTTCAGGGTTTAGCACACTTTCCACCATCCCTTACTGTCACTTATGCTTAGAATGTACTTCTTAAGCATTACCAGTTACTGGGAAAAAAAGAGAAATCTTTATTAGTATGTCAAGACAAATTCTAATCCTATCAATGTGTGTGTGTATGTGTGTGTGTTTGTGTATAGAAAATGGGGATTATGAACTTATTTTACAGAGTATCTATTAATAAAATGTATTTTATAGTACTTTGCATGTGCATAACTTTCACCTAAAATACTGAAAAATTCCAAACATCAATGTTTAACTGAAGATTGGCTTAGGAGTGGCTACTAGACTATAGATTAATAAATAATAATGTTATTAGATTGATTCAGAGAAGCAGTTATGTGAATTCTTAACCAGTATCTTCACTGGGTAACATTTCACTGTGCCATGAAAAATAATGTGAAAAAAAGATAAAATGTGTGTTTATATTTAAAACTAAAAAAAGTCAAAAGGGAATTTATGGAAATGTAAGCAGAATTTAATTATTAGATTCTTTGTTTTCTTCTTTAAAATTTATAAAAACAATGTAAGTATTTTGTGGGCATGAGCTTCTAAGTGTCTAAACATGTTTAAGTAGATTGTGGAAATAGATCTGGCAATATACAGGTATCTAACCAATCAGATTCAAATACAATGATCTAGAAGTTCCACTTTGTAAAGCTAAGAACCAATTATTCCACTTAAAAGGAAAGCAAAGTGTAAAGGAAAAATTTGCAAATTGAGAACTGAAATTATAAGTACTAGAAACACAATTTGTCTATGTCCTCCTTTCCCTTGTAAGAAGTCTAAAACCCTGCCACTTTAGTCTTAAGAAGCTGTACCAAAAACAGAAACAACATGGAATTGGTATATTCATACATGGCTGGTAACAACATAAACTAGGGCTATCTTTATGGAAATGACCTGGTGGCACTTTCCAATATCTACTAAAAAAATAATTCAGACTTTTGAATGAACTCATGTAAAAAATTAAAAAAAAATTCATACCTTTTCACTCAGTAATTTTACTACTATATATTTATTCTATGGTTAACAGTACCCCTAAAAGGTGAAAGACCAACATTCATAAGACTGCTATTATACTGACATTAAAATGATCATTTAAGAACACAGAGAAAAAAAGTGCTTATGATAAATTAAGTCAAAGAATGCAAAATTAAACTTAGGAATGCAACAACATAAAAATGTTAGAGAACACAGAGAAATGAAAATGGATATGTTAATGGAAAAGCATTCTGATTTAAATTTTTTTTTAAATTCCATTGTCAAAACAGTGTGTGATATACAAAATTTTAAAAAACAAAAATACAAACCACAAACAAAATCTTTCAGATCCACATTCAGGATGCTTTGCCCTGCTAGCCATTCAGGGTGTGCACAGCTTACATTCACAGAATGCTGAAAGTTGTTATCAACCAGCCACTGAAGCAACCACTTCAAATGGCAATCACAGAGCAAACTGCTTGTGTTCAGAATCCTACAGAAACAGAGAAGTACCTTTTACTTTTCATTCTAAGGTTCTTTAGCATTAAAAGTTTGCTACATAACCTATGAATTTTTCTTGCCAAAAATATGTTTAATCCGAATCTAACCATGAGAAAACAAATTCAGACTGTCAGCCTCAATTCCTCAAATATGGCAGTGTTATGAAAGACACTAAAAAAAACATGGGGATGGACAAGGGCAAGAGACATGTTTTAGATTAAAGGGGGCTAAAGAACCATAACAACCAAATGCAATGTATGATCCTTGACTGGGAAAACATTATCTACAAAGAACACTTTTTGACACTGAGAAAATTTGAGTATAGACTGGACATAGGTATTATTTTATCAAGGTTAATTTCATTGGGTATGATAACAGTGCTGTGGTTATGTAAGAAAATATTCTTGTTCTTAGGAAGTACATGCTGGGATGTTTAGGGGTGAAAATGTCGTATCTGCAACTTTCAAATGGTTAAGCAAAAATAATTGTGCACGTGTATACATGCATATGTGTTGGGGGAAAAGAAAGGGCGGGAGGAAAGGAGGAAGGGAGGGAAGGAAATAGGTAACAAATTTAACAAATAGGAAAAAAGTTAACAACAGTGAATGTAGGTAATGGGTATGTGAATGTTCGTTGCCACCTTCCTTAAAATTTTTGAGGTTTAAAATTTTCTCCAGAAAAGTTTGGGGAAATGCTTACTATCTATATTGGAGCACAGAGATATCTTTGTTGTGGAGAGGATATAATTCTTTTCTAATTATTTCATCAAGACTGAAAACACTTCAGCCCTATGACAACGTGTACTGCAACGTAAACCAAGGAACACTCAGAAATTACTTGTGGTCTGTAACAGGCCTATAAAGCATCTAAAAAAATCAGTGTTTTCTTTTAATAACCCCTTAAATGATCTATCCACTTGGAAGCAGAGAAAGAAAATGCTTTTGAGAACATTATAACCTGCTTTGTGAGCATCAAAATCTTTATCTAGTTTTAAAATTTTGTGTAAAATATCTAAGATCAGATTTCAAAGAAGTTTCAGTCTTTAAAGGTATCTCAAAAGCCATATTTTATTAAAGGTGATTAAATGGGCCCAAAGTTACTGTTTGCATTTAAAAATTCTTTTGTTATATTCATTCATTCAGAGAGGAATATTTGAGTCTACTATATGCCAGACACTGTTCTAAGCTCTAGGGATAGAGCCCTCACAAAGCTTACATATTTAGAGCCAAGGAATAAACAAATAAATGAAAGGATAATGTCAGAAAGTAAGTGCTATCAAGAAAAACAAAGCCAGGTAAAAAAATAGAGAGATAGCAGCTACCAGTTCAGACAGAGTGGGCAGAGAAAGATTCTCTGAAGACATGGGACTTGGGCAAAGACCTGAAAAACGCGAGAGCAAATCATGCGAGACCTGAGGTTAAGTGTGGCAGACAGGAAACTGCACGAAAGCCTGGAGGCAGATACGCTTGGTGTCCCCAAGGAAAAGCGAGAAGGCCACGGGGCTAAAGCAGTGAGTGAGGGGAGAGAGAGTACTGTATGAGGTCAGAGAGTGGGGCAGGGGCCCCCGGCCATGCGGTGATTTATAAACTAAGGAAAACTTGAATTATTTTTTCCTTGTGTGTGATGGAAAGCCACTGCAGAGTTAAGAAGAGAAGACTGATGTGGTCTGACTTATGCTTTCTTAGGTGTAATACAGGCTGGATGCATGAGACTTGGGACTCATATTCTAATTCCATGATTTACTTTAAGCCAGATACTGAATGTCTTTAAAACCTGAGTTTCCATTTCTAGAAAAATGGGATTGAGCATGCCTACCTCAAAAAAATTTTTAAATAAAGCATTTAGCAGAGTGCCTGGCCATAGATATCACTGAATTCACATTAGTTCCCTTCACTTGTACTTCTTTTCCATCTTTTCACCCTTCACACACTAACCAACCCTGCCCACAAAGCCTACTAGGGTACCCTACATTCTCTCAGCAAGTGTGTGGATATACCAAAATATTAATAGTGCTTGTCTTTGAGTAGTTAGAATTTGGCATCTTTCTCTTCCTCTTGATTTAACTGTATTTTCTAACTTTTCTACCATGATTATGCAATTTTAATGCAAAATATTTTTAAATTAATATGCAACTCTCCAACCAACATTTATGCAAAGCACCGTGGATTTCAACAAGTATAGAGATTTTAATAAATATTCATGTAAAAATTATAAATGTCTTAGATTTAAAGTAACCAAAAGCAATCAAAACTTCTCAGTAAGTCAAATTTGAGTTCTGCATTAGCAGTTTATTCAAATCAACTCCCAAATTACTAAATGACTCTGAAGAATGAAAACACAATATTTTCTTTCATCTACTAGCTAAACTGCATTTTAACCTGAATTCTCATTACAAGGGTCAAAGCTTTCTTGTTGGCCCTCAGACTGTCACAGGCCCAAAAAAAGTAATATTGACAGGCAGTAAGCTGTGCCCTTACATGTTAAACCAAGCCTAGGAGAAATACCTCAACAGACCCTCCAACCCTCCCCCGCAAAAAAGTCACTATAAATCTGCTAGAAAATAATTAATGCTGATTTACATAACATTTCACTTTTATTATTTTATTATTTATCTTCTATTTATTCAACTTTTACTATGTACCAGGCTCTGTGCTGAGCATCTCTCAAAACCCTCCAAAGTTTCCTAATGTATTTAGAGCGGAAAAAATCCTAACTCCTCATGGCTTATTAGGCCTTACATGATCTGGCTCCTGCTTAACTCTCTGTGACCTCATCCCCTACCAGTCTTCTCCTCACTCTTCCAGCCATACCAGGGTCTTTGCTATTCTTCAAGCACCAGAGCATGTGCCTACCTCAGGGCCTTTCCACTTGCTCCTCCCTGTGCCTGGAATGCTCTTCATTCAGTACTCAGCAGTTTGCCATTTCACTTCATTAAGGTACTGGCTCAAATGCTGTCATCTTCAGAAAAGCCTTTCCTCAATAATTTATCTAAAATAGTAACCACTATCACTCTCCATACCTTTGATCCAGTTTATTTTTTATTCAGAACATTTATCACCTGACAAGATGCTATGTTTACTGGTTTAGTGTCTTCCTTACTAGGTTTACTGTAAGATGCTGTTAAGGACGAGACTTTGTCTTGGTTCACTGCTGTGTTTTTAGCACCTAAAACAGCACCTTACATAGCAGATGCCATAAGTATTCCTCAAACAAACAAATCATCTTATTCTATCCACCAACTCTGAGGGATGTGCTAGTCCCAATGTCACAGTTTATAAAGAATGGAGCACAAATTTGAACTAATGACAGTTTGAACTCATACACTTTCAGTGTATCTCAAACTATCTGTAGTGAAGGACCAGTTTTCAAAATTTCCACTCTGTCGTAAACCAGTACTTTAATAGAATTCAACGAAAGTGTCACAGTAATGTCAAATTGTTTGATAAGTTTCTAAATGCTTATTCTGATTTTCCATCCTCATCTTGTCATGCCAGTTTTGGTACACAGACTGTCCTTTCAGTAGCTTTCAGGCAAGACAAGATAAATTGTTACTAACAGCCCACTGATTCCTACCACTGGCTGAATATTTGAATCACCTGTTTAAAATTAATACCAATGCCCAACTAACCACTCCTCCCCCCTGAGAAATTTATAAACCAGTAAGAGCAATTTTTAAAAATTCATGAATGAAAAAGGATATAGTATGTATTTTTTTCTATGCAGCTATTGAACAGATTTTACACATTTTAGGAGTTTGAACAAACATTCAGAGGCATCCTCTCTGACCACTATCTTGAAAGTGCTAGATAATCTCCAAAATATTATAGAATGCCTTAATTCTAACTCACCCCAAGGGATAAGGACTGGAAACATATGTTTCCAATTGTCCAAAAAGAAAGAGGGGAAAAATTTTTTTAAAGGAACAGTGGAGTATACATAAAGGAAAGTAACAGTGTTAATTTTTCTTTAACTATAAACATCAGCAGCACAGACAAAACAGAAGGTCTTGGTGCTGCATATCCTGGGCTTTTCGATGATGAGGTTATTGAAATTACATCCATCCAGCCACTAAAATAACATTTTCTTTTTTCCTGCCTGAATGGAGTGCTTTTTTGGAAACATCTGAGTCACATTCATCATAGCTTAAGCCCAATAAGCATGGATAATGATCTGATAGGTGAAGAAAAGACTTAAAGTTACATACAGTTCTTTTAAGCGAGTCTGAGAAAAAGCATGCTCTTCGATAGACATTATAGCATTGTTGTTCAAATCTCTGAAATAAAAAGAAATGAGACATTACCAGTCACCATCTCTACAATTAATGTATATAAACACTTCAAATGGTCATGAAAACCTCTGCTAACAGCAAAGATTATTTATATACTTCGCAAAATGGATGCAAAATACTTACAGATGCTCAAGGGATTCAAGACCAATGAATGCTTTCTTTGTAATTGACTTAATCTGATTTCCTTGTAAGATTCTGAAACACAAACAGACCTTTCTAATAAAGCTCCCATTAAACAAAATTTAATTCATTAAATCAACCATTCACCTATAAACAGTGAAAATAAGCTTAACATGCATTTCTAAGAAACTTGAAAGCCTTTATTATTAGCCAATACAAAGCACAGAATGAAGACTCCTCCTAAGATGTTGGAGCTCAATAAGGAACCTGTGAGCAACCATCCTGATCACTGACACACTAGTCGTTTCATAAAAGAAGTAGATTATCAGAAAACTCCCGGTTTCTCCCTTCTTAGCCAAAGACCATCAGGTTAAAGAAATTTGTACAAATGTGGAGCCTTGGGGCAGTTCTCATGGGAGAAGATCTAAAATCTTGAGAGAATCCTCTCTTGCTAGATATATTACCCACATGTCTCACATGATTACAAACAGATTACTAGTTCAACTCTCGTTTCTCAGTGCATTTCTTTTACTTAAATAGAAATTCTAGTTTCGTAAGTAACTTCTTTAATGTTGTTTCAATAGAAAGTACTCTACCACACACAAAAAAAGAACCCCCCCACCCAAAACCCAAAAAACTTAATAAACACAGTTTCTTTCTTTACTGAATGAGTCATAAGGTTCATACTTTCTAGCCATAGCAATAGACATGTTTAAACATTTACAACTGATTCTTAAAAATAGACCTTTGTATACATATACAAATATTATAAATACATACAATTTAGTGAGACTTTTAAGTCCAGCAAAAGCTTCACTAGAATCTTCTATGGCCCATTGAATTTCATTGTTTCTTAAGTTTCTAGAAAAATGTCAGAGGAAGACATGTTATGTTAGTCAGCATATCCATTACAGCACTGGGCATCATCCTAGCACAGCAGCGCTAATTCAGATCCTTATTTGAACAGGTATTTATGATAATTCAACTCTTCTTTTTAAAGAATATCTGTGATAAGCACATAAGAAATGATTCTAATAAGCTAAAAATAACTGGCCTTGATAAATAAATTAAGCAACCTGCGAAGAGTATTAATCTTCCTAGCTAATAGACTCTAATTGTGTTAGCATTTTAAAAATTACTGTCATGGTCCTGCAAAAAGCAGGAGGATTTCAAGATGCAGGGGGTGTGGCCTACAAATCTCACCTCAGGCTAATGGGGTTTCTGGGTGACCCAAGCCTACCCCTGGGCCCTTAAACCTAAAATGGCTGACAGAGTAATGTCAATACAGAACTTCACAGTTCATCAGCAATTAAACACATCTGCTGGGAAGCAAGAATGGTATAACCATGTACTAGAGTGATGACTCTGTTTTCTTTAAAAGGGTAAGTATGGATCTTTTAAAATCCACTGTTCCATTCTCAGAGGAAATGCAATTGCAGCACACTATGTCCTGATGAAAGAAACACCAGTTAAAGATATTTCTTCACTTTAGCTTCCTTAAGTAGTCTCATAATAAAGTACAAAGCTTTTTCCTTTATAAGAAAAAAGGAGACAGATCAATCTTCCCATTCAGCTACATCTTTACTTGATGTGAACACTAACAAAGCTCATTTTATCCTACTAAGAAACAAACACTGAGACTGACAGCTCAGCTGTTCAGGCTACCCCCAACCCTCTGCAGTACAGCATCGCTAATTCAGTATTAACCAACATGAGTAAGAAGTGCATCTACTCAGGCAAGAGCATTGAACTAAAGACACAATTTCTCAGATCTGATCCTAATCCTGCCTTACCTGTCTCTGTGGCATTAGACAATCATTTACCCCTACAATTACTTTCCTAAACTTTAATGTGAGCATACCTCGTTTTATTGCACTTCACAGGTACTATTTTTTTCTTTTTTACAAATTGAGGGTTTGTGATAACCCTGCAACAAGCAAGTCTATCGGCACCATTTTTCCAACAGCATTTGCTTATATTGTGTCTCTGTATTACATTTTGGTAATTCTCTCAATATTTCAACCTTTTCTTTATTATAATATTTGTTATGGTGATCTGTGATCACCATCATTGATCTTTAGTGTTACTACTGGAATTGTTCTGGGGCACCATGAACCACATCCATGTAAGACAATGAACTTGATAAATGTTGCGTGCATTCTGACTACTCACAGACCGGTTCTACCCATCTCTCTCCTTCTCCTCAGGCTTTCCTATTCTCTGATACACAACAATATTGAAATCAGGCCAATTAATAACCCTACAATGGCCATTAAGTGGTCAGGTGAACGAAGAGTCCACCTGTCCCACTTTATATCAAGTTAGAAATGATTAAGCTCAGTGAGAATGGCATGTTGAAAGCTGAGAGACCACAGAAGTCAGGCCTCTTGCAACAAACAGTTAGCAAAGCTGTGAATGCAAAGAAGTTTTTCAAGGAAATTGAAAGTGTTACTCCAAGTGAACACAAGAATAATAAACAGCATAACAGCCTTATTGCTGATATGGAGACAGTTTGAGTGGTCTGGATAGATCAAACCAACCACAACATTCCCTTAAGCCAAAGCCCAATCCACAGCAAGGCCCTAACTCTCTTCAATTCTATGAAGCCTGAGAGAAGTGAGGAAGCCACAGAAGAAAAGTTTGAAGCCAGCAGAGGTTGGTTCATGGGGTTTAGAAGCCATCCCCATAACATCAAAGTGCAAGTAAAGCAGCAAGTGCTGATGTAGGAGCTGCAGCAAGTTATCCAGAAGATCTAGTTGAGATCATTAATGAAGGTAGCTGTGCTACACAACAGATTTTCAGGGTAGCCAAAACAGCCTTGTATTGGAAGAAGATGCCATCTAGGGCTTTCACAGTTAAGAGAGAAGTCAATGTCTGGCTTCAAAGGACAGGCAGACTCTTTGATTAGAGGCTAATATAGTGACTTTAAGTTGAAGCCAACGCTTATTTGCCATTCCAAAAATCCTAGGGCCTGTAAGAGTTATGCTGAATATTTGAAGCCCACTGTTTAGACCTACTTAGAGAAAAGGATTCCTTTCAAAATTTTACTGCTCACTGACAATGCACCCAAGAGCTCTGATGGACATAAACAAAGAGATTATTTTGTTTTCATGCCTGCTAATACTAAATCCACTCTGCAGGCCATGGATCAAGGAGTCATTTTAACTCTGAAGTCTTTATTATTGAAGACATTGATTTTCTAAGGCTATAGCTAAAGACAATGATTCCTCTGATGGATCTGGGCAAAGTAAAGTGAAAACCTTCTAAAAAGGATTCACCATTCTAGATACCATTCAGAACATTCATGATTTATGGAGGAGGTCAAAATATCAACATGAATAGGAATCTGGAAGAAGTTGATTCCAACCCTCAAGGCTTCAGTGGAGGAAGAAACTGAAAATGCAAATGTGGTGGAAATAGCAAGAGAACTAGACTTGGAAGTGGAGCCTGAAAATATGGCTGAAGTTGTGCAATCTCATGATTAAATGTGAAAGGACGAGGAGTTGCTTCTTATGGATGAGAAAATAAAGTGAGTTTCTTGAGATGGAATCTACTCCTAGTGAAGATGCTGTGAAGATATGACAACAAAGGATTTAGAATACTACCTAAACATAGTTGATAAAGCATTGGCAAGTTTTGAGAGGACTGACTCCAATTTTGAAAGGTTCTACTATAGATAAAATGCTATCAAACAGCATCACATGCTACAGAGAAATTGTTTGTGAAAGGAGAAGTCAACTGCTGCAGCAAACTTCATTGTTGTCTTATTTTAAGAAATGGCCACAGGCACCCCAACCTTCAGCAAGCACCAACTGATCAGTAAGCAGCCATCAACAGAGGCAAGAGCCCTCCACCAGCCAAAACATTATGACTCACTGAAAGCTCAGATAATTATTAGAATTTTTAGCAATCAAGTGTTTTTTAATTCACCCATGTACAGTATTTCTTGAGACATAATGTTATTGTACACTGAACAGACTCTAGTATAATGTAAACAGAACTTTTATATGCCCTAGGAAACCAAAAAATCCATTTAGCTTGCTTTACTGCAATATTCACTTTATTGTGGTAGTCTCAAACCAAACCCATAATACTACAAGTTATGCCTGTACTCAAATTAATAATCAGTTGTATCCTCAAAGAATCTGTTCACCATCCCCTGATTGGCCAAAAGGCTGCAGCTGCAAATGATCTAAGTTTCTGAGTTTTCACTGATCTAGTTTCACTAGAAATAATGTAGAAAAGGTATGGGGGGGAATCACTTTTAATTGAAGGAAGACTACCTCATTAAGTTAAAAAAAAAAAAAAACAAATACTCATGCATTTATACACACCTTCACAAAATTATCACTTTCTCATTGATGGCTAGGTCCAAAAGTTGGGAGCCTGCATATTTTCTGAGACCATTTATCAACTCTGAACCTGATGAGCAAAAAATCCCCTATTCAGAAACCTTAAGAATCTACAAATTCTAATTAGTCTTTTTCTCTTATTCTGCTCTATGCTTGAGATTACTATATTTCATTAAAATACCTCTTCATTGAATTATATTCCATGATCAGGGTAAAACATTCAACTTCCAGAACCATAGAATTTTAGAGGTCAAATTGGCTTTAGGAGCCATGTAATCCTATGTCCATCCTTAATTGGACAAAAAGTCCACCAAAATGACACCCAGGAAAGGCTAAGTGATTTGTTCATCTGGCAGTATGGTAAAAAGTACATGACATTTAGTATCAAACAAACTCGGGTTTGAATCTTGGCCCCAACATTTACAAGGTATGTGACCTCAAACAAATCATTTTAATCTCCTGAATATCAGCCTCCTGATGTGAAAAAGAGCAGTAATATCCTGATTCTGAAAGCACCTAACACAGCTCAGTAATTTTTTCTGTCTGAAGATATGCTGCAAATTAGTATCAGTGAACAGGTTTCTGGCCAGAGCCGCTCTGTCTTGCCAATGGGTTTCAGTCCTGGGCAAGTTCACTACGGATCAATGAGACCAAAGAAATGACAGTGGAATATTCTTGGGATGAAAGGGTTATACCCAACTTTATTCCCACGGTGGCAGGTTAATCACTAGGATCCCATCCACTGAGAGCAAGTCTGCATGCAGCAAGCCACTCTCTGCCTCTGGGCCTGTAGCCGTCTCAGTCTCTGTCCTCGGTGCTGCCGCCACTGCAGTCTTGTCTCTGCTCTCCTGTAGCCCTGCAGCCCTGCCACTCTGTCACCCAGAGCACTGGGCAGGGCTCTTTATAGTTAATAACAATGTATTGTCCACACATGTGTAGTAAGCTAGCTAACCAGGGTCAGAGGAGAATCCTGGCCACAGGAACCTTCACTTTATCCACATGCTCCCACTACACATCCTGCATCCTTTTGAATAAGACATAGTAATTCTGGTACACTACTGGTAGTTCAAGGTCAGAGGAACAGGAAAATGTGCTTTCTGGACACTAGCAACTGTGCTTTATTCCACAGTAACTGACACAGTAAGAGATGCTTTGTTGTTTAGCTAATTAACTCAATTAAAGTACAAACTGAACTTTAGAAGTAATTATGATTTTTGTATGGACACAGATACAAGACTGTCTTACCCTGACAGAACTGCAAGATATTAACATACATAAATTTGCACATTGATTATTTTGTTTAACTGCTTTAAAAAAAATTAGCAAAAAAAGGACAGATGTACTTACAGTGTCTGAAGATTAGAAAGAAACCTGAACACACCATCAGCAATATGAGTGATTCTGTTGTCCCCTAAATTCAATCTCTCCAGTAAGCTCAGACCCACAAAGGCAGATTCATCCAAGCGGGTCAACTGGTTATAGGACAAATCACTGAAAACAGGACGCATGGAAGGTAAGGAATTCATTGCATTTTAGTTCAACTCTCACATTCTTATTCTATTTACATGATAAATTTAAAGCTCTCAACAAACTTCTAATAAAATAGGATGTTATATCTCATTACTGGCCAAGGGAATGATTTACTCCATCTTGCTCTAGTCTCACAGCCTCCATGAAATGCCATCCCACACTTACAGTTCAGAGAGTCTTTGGCAGAACTCCCATGCATCAGGGCTGATTCTTTCAACAGCATTCTGGCTCATATACAGCTGCTGTAACATTCGTAAACCATACAACCACCCCTTGTTGACTTCTGTAAGGTTGTTATGCTCCAGTTCTCTGCAGAATTAAAGAAAGAAAGGAGAAAATATGTTTGCTATGAGAAGATTCTAAAAATCTTCAGTAAGCCTTATTCAGAGAAGTAAATACCTTTGCTCAACCCAAGTGAACCAACAATTCTACTCAATAAATATTTATCTTAGTTAAGATTTAGTGCTAGAAGGTAGTAAGACTAAAATATCAAATCTTTAAAATCAACACACTGAGAGGTATAGTATACTTTTCTAGATAAATTCTGATAATTTTCATCAGCCAAAAAACTAAGAGAATATAAATGTTTAAGATGAAATGTTTTTAAGAATGATAACAAAAATACCAGTTAGATAAACAGTTTACAGAGTTTTGTATACACTTATTTCACACCAGAGAAGGCAGCAAGAACTAATGTCCTTGGTATATTAAAGCAACAATCCTACCCATTTGGCTCTGAAAAGTCCCAGTCAGACTCCTTCTAATAATCTCCAATTCCAGTTCATAGTACTTACAATTCTTCCATGTTATCCAAGCCAAAAAAAGCTCCATCCTTAAGTTTGCTGATTCCATTCCGCTGCATCTTCAAAGATCTTAAGGAGTCAAGCCCTTGGAAGGTTAGACCTTCTACAACTTTAATCCTGTTTCTTTTAAGTTCCCTTTAACAAAAAGTTTTACAGTCAGAAAACTGGTTTGCTGATTTGCTCTAATAATAATTAAAAGAAAAAAAAATAGTAAAGGAAAACGATCTTCTAATCCATCTACTTAATTACTCACAAGAATTGGAGGTGAGGTAGCTTGAAGATCTTGGGTGGAATCATGCTAATTCTGTTCCGGTTTAATTTTACCACTAGTAAGGAACTCGATAAATTATCAAAGCAACCAGCCTCCAAGGTGGCTATTCTATTATTACTTAAATTCCTAAAGTGAACAAGACAATAACAAAAATTTAGTGAAACAAAAATTCTACCACCGGAAAGCTGCCAAAATCTATGACTGAGCCCCCATTCTATTATTAGCAACTGTATATAACTACGAATCATTTAAGTGCTTTGTTTCTTCAACTACAAATTACAAATAATACCTACTTCATTTGGGTTGAAACAGTATGTGTGAATATGCTTTGTAAAGTGTAAAACACTAGCACATATACTAATTACTATCATTATTATAAAGGGTATGCCATTTAAATGTTCCTATTTACCTTCTGCAAACTGCTAGTAAAATACAATCCAGAATTAAATCTCAAAAATTACTCTGGACATTTAACAATGTGTTCTGACAACAGCGCACTCTTTAAGAGGAGGAAAAAAAACAAGCAAAAAATCCTAAAAACCTAAAACCTGACCCTAAGTTTGTTTCACATAAGCATTATCAAAATCACATAACAGACATTTCTGGAAAGATAAGTATCAATGAATAAAAAAGACATACTTTAAATCTAGTTTAAACTCTATTTTACTTACAGGTATTTAAGCTGCATTCGAGGAAATGAAGATGTCTTGACTTCTGATATTATATTTGAGCTGAGGTCTAAACTCTCGAGAGCAGGGTAAAACTGAAATGCCTCTGCATTTATTGCTGGGATTACATTATGGACTCTACAAAACAAAGATTATATTGAAGCTGTTTGTCCATGATCCACTCCAGGGCACAAGGATGGTATGCAACTAGGATCAACAATAAGGGTACCCACAGCAAAAACAAAAAAACTGTGTATTATTCATAATTTAAGTAAAATACCTGAAATCTTATTTACTTACAATGAGAGTAGAGTAATATTAGAGGTTGGATCTCCAAAATAAGGGATTTCTGTTAGCTCATTATAATTCATTTTCCTGGGCAGGGGGAAAAATAGATTTAAAAGTTTAGTGAGGGAAATGTCACCACTTGAATTCTCGTTTCTGGCTAATACACATTCTTTAGGATAGGTGCCAAATTTGAAAAAAGCCTGTGACTCAGAATGAGTTAGATAAAATGTATTATACTGAGAAATTAAGAGATTTTAAGGGGAAAAGTTTTTTCATGGCATAGATCTATGATTGATACCAGTATTAGAAAGGCTGGGAAATATTTTGCACATTAAATATTTTTAATACCAGCAAGGTTGTTTAATAGTTAAGTTTATTGGCTAATTTGAGTCCTTAAACAAAGAAGGAATAATAAAAAATGAACCTATCTATATCTTCATATATGTATTTATAAATTATAAAGTAAATTCTAAAAATACACATGCATACATACACATACATATATATACATATACATATTTTTTAAATTATTCAAAGTTAGGGCAAGTTTGCTTGAGATCACAGATGAAATTTATTTGGCCATCCAGAGATGGAAACTATGATTCATTTTACAAATGACATGATATCCAATCTTAGCAGGTCTTTAAACGGATTGTCCCCAATGTTTTAAAAGCAATTTAATACAATCACATTTCATTTAACCTGGGTTTTCAAACAATCTAGAATGCAGAAAAGAAACCAGAAGCAAAAGTTAGTCTATGTAATAAAGTTCATATACTTCCCATGGATCAGGCCTTTCCTCAATGCCTAATCTTTCAATTAATAAATTGGTCGATTGTTTTTTTTAGTCCTCAACAGATTAGAAGCAATTGGTTTGGGGTACGTAAGAAGAGAATGCAGAGACAATGAGAGCACAGAAACAAGTAATCCCTGTCAGCAAGATATCAAAAAGAAAAATAGAGTATTCTGGGGGTGTTTAGCACAGAGGCAATACCAACAGTTGTACCTCTGGAAATGTCACAATGCAATAACTGATATTAATATTTTAGAAAATTCCCTCCAAAAAAAAATATACCTCAGTATTAAAGAAACACTTCACTGATGTAGAAAAACTGAATGATATTAACCACATTAGAGATGACACCAAAAATATTGTATTTCATATAAATCTACTTAAGAGACATGATGCTTCCATCTTAGATGAGTCAAGACATAAAAACTGTTTACACAACAGAGAGTTTCACTGGCTGAAACTTTGGCCAAAACAGAACATGTTTAACTCTGAAGAAAGGGGAAAAAAATCTTACTTTTGGCCCTAAGTTAGTAGAATAATATTTCTATAGTTTGCAACTTGAAATCACAAACACCCAATGGCACAATCTCCAGAGAGTTTGTGACAGTAACCAAGTTAAATGCAACAATTTAGATTTTTAAGTATCTTTTTAATTTTTTTCATCCAGTTTTTTGACAGCATTTCTGGATTAAAGATTCTCAAATTCATAACTCACCAAATCACCTCAAGGAATTTAATGTAAATTTAAATAAATAAAAATAACTTACACTTCTTGTAATGTTTGAGACTCCAAGCTGGTGTTCCAGTTAGACAACCGATTATGACTCAAGTCTCTAATGGAGAACAAATGATCATTTTTAGTGTTGGAAAGCAGACTTAGAGAAGAGAAAAACAAAACTAAGAATCATATGCCTGATCAAATGTTATTTACTCAAAATGAAGTAATGCTTATAAAGAACAAATAACTATCTAGATTTCAAAACAGCTGTTTTACTTTTTCATTTTTATGGTTATTTTTATTATTATCTAGGGAATACATTCATGTGGTTCAATAAACAAAAAGTGTAAAAGGATATAAAGCCTATAAAGCCTCCCACCCTTATCTCTGGCCATCCACTCCAGCCTTTTAAAAAGTGTAAAAGGATACAGTAAAAAGTCTTCCACCCTTTGTCTCCAGCCATTCAACAGCAAAAAATGAAAATAAACCACTTCTTGTACAGCCTGCCAGATATTTTGTACACGTATCAGCAAATTTTTATACAAATGGTAGAATAATTTACAGTACTTTGCCCCTTGCTTTTCCCACTTAACATCTTATACAGGGGCAGAGCCAAGATGGACGTGTGAGTAGAGCAGCGGAAATCTCCTCCCAAAACCACATATATTTTTGAAAATACAACAAATACAAGTCTTCCTAAAAGAGAAACCAGAAGACACAGGACAACAGCCAGACTACATCCACACCTGCGAGAACCCAGCGCCTAGCAAAGGGGGTAAGATACAAGCCACAGATCGGCGGGACCCAAGTGCCCCTCACCCCAGCTCCCAGTGGGAGGAGAGGAGTAGGAGTGGGGAGGGAGAGGGAGACCAGGACTGCTAAACACCCAGCCCTAGCCATCTGCACCAGAGTGCAGACACAGTGCATGCGTGAGGGGCTGGAAACTAGGGAAACAGGACAGTAAGACCTGTGGGCAGGTCCCCACTGCCAGCACCCCAGGGACAAAGAAAGGCGAGTGGTTTTTGAAAGTCTTAAAGAGACAGGGACCTCACAGCCAGATGGAAGTGTCCCGGAACATTTAGCCCAGCAGCAGGGAAACCTGGGGAACTCTGGGCACCCTAACACCCTGTGCAGCAGGGCAGCTCGGAGGCCCCTCACAGAGATAAACAGCCTCCCGGCCGTTTCCCCTCCAACACAGCTCCACCAATTGCAGCAGCAGCCTGAGGCAGGCCTCACCCACAGCAACTGCGGAGCTAAACTCCAAAGCGGCCAGACAAGAATCAGAGGCCCCGTCTGCGCGCAGCTGCCCAGCACAAGCCGCTAGGAGTCGCTGTTCTCCCAGGAGAGGAAGGCCACAAACCAACAAGAAGGGACATTCTCCCAGCCGTCACTTGCCCCAGCTCCGCAAACTATCTCTATCGCCATGAAAAGGCAGAATCTGAGACAGACAAAAATCACGGAGTCAACACCTGAGAAGGAGATAGACATAACCAGTCTTCCTGAAAAAGAATTCAAAATAAAAATCATAAGCATGCTGACGGAGATGCAGGGAAATATACAACAGCTAAGGGATGACATCCAGAGGGAGATTACAGAAGTGAA